AAAGTCAGTCATTTTGGGATCAAGCTGTAGAAAACAATAAAAGAGAAGAGTGGTTTCTTTCGTCTTGCTCTCCCCCTTCCTTTAATTCTTCAGGATTCAGGCAATAGCACTGAAGTCAAATGCCATTAGGATTTCTCACTAACTTCAAAGCTTAATTTAGTCTCTACTGGAATGAAGAGAGGCATAAAACAGGCAGTGGAATCCATTTAAATGAGTGACTGTGAAAGAAAGTTTCTAGGAAAACAAATGTTCTGCACATTCTTTTAACAGAAATCCTCCACTGGAGTGTGGTGGCTCAAGTGCAGCCACCCCCTGTCCCCCAGGGTGGTGGGTGCTACCCCAGCTGTGCTGTCCCTGACGTGGGGTGGGGGTCCCACCCTGTGCACCCCAAGGCAGTGCAGAGGCTCCAGGGGACTCGAGGCAGGGACAGGCCTTCTGGTCCCTGTGCAGAGGACATGGGACCAACTGCCCGTTCAGTCACACGTGCCTGTATTTGTGTGTGTTTGACAATTTTCCAGGACATCATTGTAATAGGGTAAGTCAGCATGGAAGATTTGGTTTATTTTCCAGCATATTTGATGCTTCATGAAGGATGCAGTTGTACTTTAGACTGCTCCTTTATAACCCCACTCGTCAAAGAAATGTTCTTGTCATTAGCAAGGTGTTGCCTTTAAATCACTTCCCTCTCTGTGTTTTTTATTCATTGTGACTTAAATTTTCTTCTGTGAAATGAGCTGTATAATTTTGCTAGGGTGGTACTAAGTGCTTTATTTCAGAAGCATTACAGGTTAATGCAGCTTCCAACACATCTTAAAAATCCAGAGGCTGTGGTAGTCTGTTCTGCCTCTGGGATAACTGCTCATAATCCAGTTGCTGTGTGTCTGCAGCAACTGCTCCAGAGATGCAGTTTGCTTCAGACCCACCCCACTGATGCTGAACCAGCCTGGAAAGGTCTCCCTACTATGGTTTGCATGAGGAAATTATTCTCCTCTTCAGTAATTGTGAGAGCTTGTGATTCCATTGCATCCCCTACCTGCAAACCTCAGCACTTTCCGTTCGGCAGCTCTGGAAGGCAACAGTGGCAATGGCCAGATGGGCAGCTGGATGCTGTTCCCTGGACTGGGGCAGGACCTAAAGAAGCTCTAGCCAAGGCTGTGGTGAGCCTTGAACTGCAGAAAAATCTCTCTTGGTGTGTTCAGGGTGGGCAGGAGGCAAGTTGGTAACTGCAGACCACCCTCCCCTGGGCAGGAAGGGGACAAGCAAGCTCCAGAATCAGGGAAGAGACACAGCTCTGCAGTAAGAGGGAGGGGAGAGACCAGACTGATGATATCTCATTTCCTCAATTAGAGCTGATCTAATTTAAAAGTCTTTGGGCCTATCACACGCTCTTAACTGTTGCATAAGACATTTATTTTAATAATGCACTTCAGTCATATCTCTCTTCATTTGAGGGATTGCTTGAGTCCAGTTCATGTGACTAAGGACAGCCCTTCTCTTTGCTGCTCTTGGAGGTATCTTGGTCAAAAACATGCAGCCATCAGTGGTGACCATGCCCCACATGTAGAAATTATACACTTTCTGAAAAGTTTCCCGCATTTTCTTGGACATGCCTGGGAGTTGCTCTATTTGTAACAGAAACAGCATCATGGTGCCACCTGGGGAGCCTGAAACAGACCCCAGTGTTTGGGGGGAAGGTGGAGTCCTGCAATGGGAAAAGCTCCTGACCTGGAAACCACTAACTGAACATAAATAGGTACTGTGAAGAACAAGAGCTAAGAAGAGATAGATGTTTGATGGTCTAAGTATGCAGAAGGCCAAAAAATGCAACGTTATGGTTCAAAGGGGAAGAGCTGATTTACAGTCCATTATAATTTGTACATCTGGAAATTTGTTACAGTAATTAAATGCTAATCTAAAAAGGAGATTCAAAGGGATAGCTTCCTTAAAGATTACTCTCAACCACCAGGATCATAAGTAAATTGTAAGTAATGCAGTTGAAAAGTTGGATCTTTCTGACTGAGTAAATGTCATAACTGAAAAAAGCAGTAACTCAACTTTTTATATTTGAACATCTCATTATATTCCAGGCCATTGGAAGAGACATTAGGTTTCAGAGAGGTGACACATGAGGTCTGATGATGATAATCCATCCTTTAATTATTTAATGGAGGTTAATACTGCTGTGGTAGTGTAGTAGCTTGGTCTTAGAAGTGAGGAATGGGTTTTAAAAGAAATGAGTTTAATGGAAAATTAATAAAGCAGTGCAGAAAGACTGAGTTGCTGGCAATGACATTTATGCTTTTTTGGGATTTAAAGGCTTTATTTTGCAGTTGGTTTCTGGGAAGCAAAACCATTTTCTCTCCTATTATATCCTCTCTTCCTAGTACGGTTTATCTGCTCTTTTTCTCTCTTGTTTTTTTGTTTCCCTCTCCGTAAGAGTGCAAGTGTACTTGAGGCGTGAGTAGATCTCTAATCGAGAGACCAACCCAGTCTTTCTCTGTAGAGAGGTTGTCTCTCACCTACATGTAAAAGTTTTCCAGGACCTTTGCTTTCCCAGGGCAGAGAGTTCCATCCTGCCAGGACTCAGTGTTGGCTGTGTGCTGTCGCAGAGTGTCTGCAGCAAGTTCATGTGCCTGTGGTGATTCCACGTGTGGCCTGGCTCGTAGGGAATGACTCCCCCTGCATTGTCATTGCCTGTCATCTTTGGGGATGCTTGTTTGAGCCACCTGGTTTTCGGTGTCAGAGCACCCAGGGCACCTCATTTGTTGATGTGGTGGACTGTGTGCAGATGGCAGGGGGGAGGGTGTCTGCAAATGTAGGTCCTGGCAGTGGCTTTTCTGGAAGGAGAGAAATGCAAAACTTTAGCTACTTCTTTAAGAGAAAAGCCAGTTGAACTTGGTGGTGTGTCTGGAGGTTGGTTCTGAGGTCTTGAGTCAAGAGCAGGGCAGTTGGAATCAAACAGAAGAGTGGTTGGAGTAACCTGAATCTGGGTGTGCAGCAGACAGAATGTAGCTGCAGTTCAGTGGAGAATCTGGATTACAGCTTGTTTGTTGTGACTGTTGTTCACTTTAAAAATCTCAAGTGTTAAACTCTTCTTCAAACATAGCATCTCTGTTTTGTTCTGGTTGCCTGCTCATGACTCATGACTTCCTGAGGAAAACTGAAAGCTTGAGGGAATTGCATGCATACTTCTTCCATTTCTAATATGCTGCTATGGAATACAAAATCAGAAGGAAACTGTACATGGAGTGAACATCAACATGACTTCAGTGGCATGATAGCACCTTTTTTTTTTTTTTTTAACTAAAACATGCTGGTTAATTAAAGCTCAGTGCGATAAGCATGGGAAAACCTGCCTTGCAGGGAAGCTGGGTAGAGGACCACAGAATATTTGCCCTTACAAAATGGAGCTCAAGAGAGGATGTGATCAATGCCTGTGAGCACATCTCAAGGCAAAGAAGAAGGGCTACTTCATCTAAAAGACAATGCTGGCCAAAAAAAGTGTGGTGAGAAGAACAGTGTGAGCTCTGACTGTTCAGGCTGTTAGTCTGGAGATGGTTCCTGAGCAGTAGAGGAGAACATTCTGCAGCCTTTTACCTAGGAGAGAAAGGGGTGAAAATACTGCAGCTATTTTTAAGATAGAAGTCAGTTTATTTGTGTGGGTGACTTCCATGTGGTGGTGCAGTCAGTGGCAGGGATTGTGTGCCATGACCCAAGAAGTCCTTCACTATTCTATGGTCATAAAGGAACCCTGGCAGAACATGCACAAGCTGATGTGTTCGTGTGTCTGTTCATACAGATATATAATGTATATACATATTTTGTATAAATGTATAAAAATTAAGAGGGAGTCCCTGTACCTAAGCTCTTAAGAAATGGTTATCTACAACTTCTTTTTTCAATTGAGCTCATTTTTGGCATCACCAAGCTAATGCATATTCATAATTTTTGCCTGTTCTAATTTTAGCCACCTACAGCCTTCATTACAGGACATGCACATAATTAAATTGCCTTCTTGAGAGTTCACAGCCTGTCATTGCTCACCATTTACAGACTTTGAAATGATCAAAGTATTTTTTAAATGGTCCTGTAAAGCTATACCAGGCTGGAAAGGCAATGTAATAAAATGTCATTCTCATCATCTTAATGTTTTGTGGTGGGCCCAAATTCTGGTCTGTGGTCTCAGGCACGTAATTCAGTGAGGCCATGAGCAATTTCTTTCTGTGAAGTATTTGTGCACCTTCCATAGACTGGGCTCAAACTCTGTAGGACGTGGCCCAAGTCCGTCAACAGCAACTGCTACCCAAATGAACCTTGGAAGCAATTTAATGTGTAATTTCAGAAAGAATCAGCTCTTAACTAAGTCACAGTACAGATGGTAATAGTCCTGTTTTGTAGCATCCTAATTTATCTACTTTATGGGGGTGTTTCTATACCTGGGTGTTTCTTTGCTATCTGTGGTGTTTGTTACTGGCACATTATTATTGGATTTTGGTGGTATTTGGGTTTTTTTTGGTGTCCATGTGTGTGAGCCATGCCCCTGTCTGGGGGCTGTGTGGCATCCCAGGAAGGGCTGTGCTCTGTGCAGGCACGTCAGGGTCTTCCCATTGCCTGTATCTGGGCTTACAGCACCCAAACTCAGCTGTTTTTTCTGAGCTGTGCCCCTTGCATAAATGAAAAGAATTTCAGTTTTCCTTGTGAACCAGTTCAGTCCACTGCAATTCCTCACCATTTCCCTTTGGCCCTTGGGGCCCTTACTGCTGGGGAGGCACTGGAGATTGGGGGTGGGGACATGCCAGCCCTGCAACAAGCCCCATGCCAGCCAGGTGGCACAGAGATGAGCTGTGTGTGCAGTGTAAAGCAGGGAGAGACTCAGGCTGAAGTGTACTCTAGATCCTGGTTTGTTGGTTGTTTTTTTTTTAACACCAATGATACACAAGCAGAGGAAGTCCAACTTCCTTTATATAAACTTCTTGTTTTATTAAAACTAGTATTTTCACTCAAATTTTTAAGAAATCCTTTATTTCACATGAACAGAAGCATCTTGCAGCAGGGCAGCCCCTTTGGCTGCAACATTTCACCATCTCCAAGCTGCCTGGTGGTCCAGGATCATGGGGCAGCTGCTCTGTGAGCCCCCCATGCCCCCACTCCCTCCCCACCACACACAGCCTTGGTGCAGGGTGAAAGGAGCCACAGGGAGCAGCAGGAGTTAGAAATCAAACCTTCATGGCTGCTCTGGGTGGCTCCAGAGGGCAGCTTTAAGCAGCTGTGGATTTTCAGGTCGAACTGCCTTGAAGTTCCTCCAGGGATGAGGGGCAAGGTGGGGTCACCCCCTTGCCCCCACTCCCAAGGCGGTCCAGGCTCATGTCAGTACTGCTGGGCCATGGCCACTTCTAGAACCAAGAGCACCAGCTGTGGTGACATTTGGCCCCAGTGTCTCCCCAGATACACTGTGACTCTCCAGGTGCAGAGATGGAGGTGCAAAAACCTGCGCCAAGGCCCTAGCACAGGTGGCATCTGTCCTCTGCCACACTCTGGGGTCTCATCCATGCCCCTGGGGCCAGGTTTGGGGCTGATAACACCCAGGGATTCCCAACTGGCCATGCTGAATTTCTGTTCTCCTGCTGTGCACCTCACCATGGGGGATGCTGTGGCCACCCCACCTCCCTGTGGAGTTCAGGTGGTCCTTAACTTCAGGCTGCTGTTCCTGCAGGGCAGTCTGGGGTTGGTCCAGAAGCACCTTTCTGCCCGGCATCCACGGCACCTCTGTGCCCCGGTGCAGCCCTGGCACTGCTGTGGCAGGTGACCTGACTAATGGGTTATACAGATAAGAAAGCAATCGATTTTCCTAAATGCTCAGATGAAAATTGCTGATCAGTGTTAAGACTCCCCCCTCTTCTCCCCCTTTAAGCACATCCATTTCCAACACAGTTGCTGTGGAATCCCAAGCAGCCCCTGGCAGGTCTGTGGTGGCAGTAAGGTGAGCAGGCAGGTGCCACAGGGGTGGGATGTTTTGCTGGGATGCTCTGAGCTGCCTGTGCAGGGAGGGGCACACACAGGTAGACTAACAGCTTTTTTGCATTGGTTTATAACCCAATTTCTATCCTTCATTGCTTCCCTTCTGGAGCACTTAGTGCCCTGAAGAACCTCCCAAGAGTGGAGAGAATTTGCAGTTCTCAGCAGCCTCCACAAGTATCTTTGCTGTAACTGCTAGAGAGTGCTGGGTTTTTTCATTGTTGTTTTTCTTTTTGTTTTGTTTGTGGTGTTTTGTGTTGTTTGGTTTTTTTTAAGAAAAAAAAACTTTATTTTTAACCACAGCAGTGTGATACCAGGCTATCATCTTGGCACATACTCCCTGGGCAGCCCTGTGAAGTTTCTTCCCCTCAGGGCTTCATCCACCATCAGGATGTATCTGTTGATAAGATCTTTCATTTCCTGGGTGAATGGCTCAAAATCCTTTAGCTTAGCACCTGACCGCTTGAAATTCCCGTCCCTGTTGTTCTCCACACAGAGCAGCCGGTCCTCTGTCACTGACACGTTCAGAAACTCCACCATCTCCCTGAGCTTGGGGATGAGGCTCTGCTTTAGATCTTCGTAGTGGACAATGAGCAGGCGCTTCCCATACTTCAGCCAGTCCAGGACATGGGAGGCCCACCAGGAAGCATAGCTGTTCACAAAATCTGGCCACTCTGGATGACCAGAAAACCAGGAAAATGAGATATTGTTAACCATGCTGCGATTCAGCAATTTCCCTTTGCCTTGGGCATTAATGATACCTTGATCTCTATTTGCTGTTTGTGCTAATTTAATTTCCGAAGGTCAAGATAGCCCTGCTGAAAGCTTTTGGGCTGGACAAAGAACATTGTGGCCGAAATGTAACAATTTGCAGTACGGTAAAGCCATTCCCTCCAGACTTTTTTCTGAGGACTATTTTGTGTGGGTTTTGATGAATAGGTCTTGGATTGTGACTGTGAAAGGTGATACGTGAACTTGGGGAAGAAATGTGGTGTGACACAGGACAGTTTCCCCCCCACACCCTGTGCCAAGCCACAGCTGTAATGCCTAAAATATGCACAAGGAGAAATGGAAGCCAAATGTCTTTTCTGCTGCAGAGTCTGAGTGCAGCAGCATATCCAGTGGGAAAATTGCAGTCACCAGCCAACTTGCCAGTCAAACATGTGAAGCGTGGCGGGCAGGTTCTGAAGTCTTTTCATGTGTTCAGGGACACTGAATCTCAAGTCCCCTTATTGCTATTATCGTTATTTATCTGCAGTGCTGTAGCACCTGTACAGTGCTGTAAAATTTCCTTCAGGAAATGTCATGCTCCATTGGATCCTCCAAATCTTAAATTAGATTTTTCATGGTTATTACATGCTGCAGGGGCAAATTTTCTTCACCTCACATAGCCTGGCAAATGGGCTGTGCACAGGAGTGTTGTACCTGGATATGTTTTCTCAGCCCAGCAGTGCAATGGCAGTGGTGTTCCTGTGTGCCTGTAACTGCTCCCACAGGGGAGGTCTAAGTGCTTTTGGAGCTGATCTCGGGTGTGGTGGGATGCGGGTCCCGCTGAATTTGTTTGCAATGCTCACTCAGGTCCCAGTGTGTCCCCCCCTTCCCAGCATGCTGAGGAGGTGGGTTTCAAACCAGCCCACGTGGGCGTGGTGCTTACCTTTGCTCTTCCAGTTGCGGTCGGTGGCATAGCCCAGGTGCCCGGCGTATTTTCTGTTGAACTCTGCCATCAGTGATTTGTAGGGGTTCCTTATCAACAGGATCGCTGAGTCGAACATTTCAATCTCTGTCTTGCCACTTTCGTGTGTTTTCACACAGATGGTCCTTCTACTTCTCCAGTGGTCTTTTTCTCCTTTAAAACCTGTTTTACAAGACATGATTGTTGGCTTTTTCACTTGATTGTATGTCTGTGCCTTTTTGCACTAAATCATTCCCTACAGTGGTGTAAAGCCGGTGTGATGGTACCGGTCAGTTAAACACACTGGCAGCCAGGCTCTCCCTGCCTGGGCAAGGGATCCTTGGCCCCACGCTGCCACAAGGCAGCTTTTCCCAGGGCCAGTGCTTGGTGCTTGCTAAATGTCTGTCCCCTCGGGATATGGCCCTCCCAGAATAATTAGTAACATTTGAAAATTTAACCTTCATGTTTCCTGTGCTCGTGAAGGGTCTTACCCACAGGGTTCAGGCAGCAGCCTGTCAGATGGGAGCCGCACATGTGTGTGTGCACAGGGCACCAATGTGGGCAATATGCACATTTGCAAATGCAGAGCCTGGCTGTTCTCTCTGAGAGCAGCTGCTGCCATCTGCACTGTGGGAGGCTGCTTGGTCCAGGCATGTGTTTAAGTTTCACCAAATGTGCTGACAGTGACAGCCGTTGCTGGCTCAGGCAGAAGAATGCAATGAGTAAAGCCCTGTGCCTTGGAAGGGCTGTGTGTGTGCCATCCCTTGGGACACGGTACCTTTGTTGTAGAGGGCTCCATCGAAGTAATAACTTCCTGTGTAGTATCCCGTGGCGTGCTCGATCAGGTGGCGAGCCCACGTGTTCCCAGCCCCAGGAAAGCTCGACAAAGCAACAAACACTTTGGATTTGGTGGTTAAGAATTTCCTGTCTGTGCAGCGAGTGTCTGTGAGTAGAGAAGATATTTCATTGTTAGCATTGTGGCTTTTTAATAATTCCACAGACAGCTCTTGATTACAGGGTTTATTGCTTCCTCCTCTCTCTTACAAATATAGGATATCAATTTGACTCCGGTTGTGAGTCAGCTACTTCCCAAAATTAATTCAGCCATATGAGGCCAAAGAGATTATCCTCAGAGAGGTTTCTGCTGGTTTTGTGTTAGGCAGTGTTTTTTTGATAAAGCTGCAGCAAACCATTGTACTTGCCAGTAAGTTGTGCTAAAAGCCCCTAGGTGATGCCTGTTTGTTACCAGCTATTTGCCTGTCAGGCTGGCTCTGCAATGGACCTTGAAATGTGCCACTACACCTGGAAACTGGGAGTTTTATAACACAGGAGAAAACCATCCTACTGAAAGGAGCTGCCTTTAGTTAAATCTCTGCACTGCCATTCCTCTCTGAAGGGCCCAGGCACTGGCGAGCCCTGCAGCCATGGAGTCAGATACCTGGTTTCATATGTGCTTCTGTAAATCCTCACCTTGCTTCTTAACATGCCAATGAAACCAAGGGTAAGGAGAACCAGTCTTGACCCTGTGTGATGATTCATCAAGAAGCCAGCTCTCTTCATTTTTCAGAGCAAGCTCTAGATGAAGGCATGGCTGGAAAGTGCCTGTACAGCCCAGAGAAGGCAGCCTCCTACTACTACTGATCTCTACAGACCTGGGAAGTACCAACACTTTCATGGAAACAAGCATTCTTCTTACATGGTCTTTCCACATGCTGGTGTCTGCAGGCTACCTCTGAACTGGGAGACGGGGATAAAAAAAAGGTGTTAGGGGGAAAAAAGCCCAGCACCAATCCAGAAAAGCACTTAATTTATTTTAATCTTAACAAGTTTATTTAAACTTCAATGAGAAGTTTCACTGAACTCAATGTAAATCACTGCATGGATAAAGTTGACAGAACCACCTAAATGGTTTTCTGGATTGGAAGCTTACTCTCTACCTTGTTTTCCAGCCTTAAACATGTATGCAGATGAATATTTTAGAGGAAGATGAGTAGAGCAGAATTAGAGTCTGCAGCGTTGCCTTGGTGGCTGCCTGATCTGGGAGCTGCATGGTGGGGCAATACCTTCCCAGGCTCTGCCTCGTTCTCTCCATCTGTAGAATAATGTTGTTGTTCTGTGTTGAGGGGAGGCCGTGCTGTGCAGTGAGAGAATGGAAAGATGCATCTTCATGAGCATGATTGCAAAGAGGGAATTTAGATAAAGTCTGTTTCCTAAATTCCTGCCTGTGTCACGATACCCACTACTGTGGCTCAGACTGCTGTAAAGGAGATCACTTTTACCCGCTGCAGAAGGGGCACAGGGGCCATTTCCAGCAGTGGTGGCCCTGGCCCTGGCACAGTGAGGCTGGAGCTCGTACCTTGTACGGGTGTCTGGTAGACCAGGCAGTACTTTCCCTGGGCAGTGCTGCTGGTGTTGCGTGTCCCGCGGCAGCGCAGCCCGTCCGCGCCCTCGCGCAGAGAGAACCGCCCGGTGGGGTATCCACAGTAACACTCCTGCCCTTGGATCACTGCCAAGGGAAACTCCTACAGAAGAGAGAAAATGGATCAGTGCAGAAATGCCAGGGCATCAACAGTCTGTGGGGAATGCTGCTGCCATGCAAAGAAAATAAATCTTCACAAGGCCACTATCAAGATCAAAGCAGTGTTTGATATGTCATTCTAAAGCTAGTGCTCTTTCACTACTACCGTTTTCATAGTGTAATTACCTAAAAAGTGGGTTTCAGACAAATACTTCAAAAACTTTTAAAATTAACAATATTCTTTTTCATAATTCATAAAAAAAAAGTTATAACACTCCTGCAGCACCTGGTATGTAATTGCATCTGCAAAAGATCAGTGTAGGAAAAGCTTGAACTTGCCTCCAAAAATGAGCATTTTGAATTGAAAGAACTTTAAAGTTCCATTTACATTCCTCCAAACCAAGTCAGCTGCCACAAGTTTGCCTTATTCAATTGATTTTTAGCAAAGTTTGTGTAGAGGAGACTTGCTCTTAAAAGAATTAAAGGGAAGAAGGAACTGTGGACCCGCTGACTGCTGCAATCATGTGTAAAGATAGAAAGAACAAAGTCAAGCCATAAAGAAAGTTTGCATCTTAGTGTGACCTCACAGTTTGCAGAAAAATGAATGTGCAGAGAGGGGCTGCTAGAGGGTTTGAGAACTACTGGGTATAGTTTTGAAAGAGCTATTTAGAAATGCTCCACCCAGCAATTTTTGGCCCATTTTTCAGAGGGACTGTGCTGGCAGCAGGGAGGACCCGTGGTGCCCGTGTATGGCTCTGCCCTGGGTGCCATGGGGTGAGCTCAGCTGGTGCCTGGACTCTGCCCTCAGGCACAGACATGTCCAGCTCAGCAGATTCTGTGATTCTGTGTTTTGTGCTACCTTGCTTCTAGATAGGAAACCTCCTAAGGTGTGCAACCATGAGGAAGTTACAGTCAGCCTGCCCGCTGCTCTGCCTGCCCGATGCAGCACAGAGTGACCGCAGAGTGACCTGTTCAGTCTTGACTTCCCATCAGTGTTCAAGCAAAACTCTGAGCCATCCCCTTTGCTCACCTCTGTATTTAGGTGTGCCCCAAGCTGCGGTCATGGCTTCAGGTAACCATCTAACTTTGAAGTGAGGGACTAGTCCTGGAGCTCAGCACACACGGGTCTGTGATGCTGCACTTTGGTGAGACACCAGCACACAGCCAGAGAACTCTGCAGGGCTGTGGATAAGCATTTTCCTGGACTGAGCTGTAAAGCAGGCACTGACAGGCTCAGGTGTGCATCCTGTGAGTTGTAACTCAGGGAGAGGTGATTTACACAAGAGGACTATTTACACAAGAATTTGTGAGATGAAGCCTCAACAGGTAGTTTGAGTGGTGTAAGGAAATCAAACATTCTCCAATAGCAACACAGTTGATATGATTCAATCACTGATTGTTTTGTAGTAGGTTGTATCCAAATTAAGAATTATGAATAGATTAAAAATACATTTATCTGTTTTGCTCTGATTACTCTGCTAAATTAGTTCTTTTGCCAACTTCTATGCTAACTCTCCTATCTGATGCAGTTAAATTCTTTCAATCTATCAGAAAGAATAAGAGTTGGAGTCTAATTGCAGAAGGAAATTCCTCTCCCAAGTAAAACTGATAGGTTTGGTTAATTTAAAAATTGGTATGTTCATTTTGCAGCGAATCTAGAAGTCATTCTTCAAGTTGTCATTGAACTGGATATGCTAAAAGCAAAGTATAAATACCATAAAGTCAATCTGGACCTTGCACAAAAATTACAGCTTGTTTTTCTCTGTGATCTGTTGAGCCAGGGGACATTTCTGCAGGGCAATGTTAGACCCAGTGTGACCCTATTTGGAATGCTCCCCTCTCACTGCTGCAGTAAAGTCAGCAAGACTGTGCTTATCTGTGCCAGTCAAGGTTCTGGCCTACTTATCTTTGTTTTATTGTGTTTGAAAAAATATCTAAATCAAGCTGTGGAATCACTCTGTATGAATTCTACAATGGGATTTGAATCCAAATCCCAGGAGTCATTTGTTTATGGGTAGATAAGTGCATGTAGTTACATCTGGAATCCAAAATAGCAGGTCTGGTTTTGAATTGAGAAGATCACTGTGTTCTGTGTATTGCTCCATAAAAAAAAGCACCTTAGAGGTGGAAATGTTCAAGTGTGCAGACTTGTTGCCATGGCTTTCAGATGCCATGAGGTACTGCTGTTCTCAAGAGAGTGTTCTTCCAGATTTTATTCATGTCATCACACATGTTTGGGGTGTCATAACAGGTCTTGTTTAAGTATCTGGAGTTAAACCACAAATTGGTGTGTGATAATTGGACTTGTGGATATGCAATTCTGCTTCTGAAGCAGAGGGAGAAATTGCCAGTCTTTTTGTAGGGAAATAGTCTCTTTGCAGAGGGTCTCATGGTGCCCAGCAGAGTTAACAGTGAGTTGTTACCTGCACCATTTCAAGGAAGGAATAAATGAGAGAGGTACCAAACCTGTTCTTCACCTTCCTTCAGCAGCTTTCCCTCTTCATGCTATCGTTTTTGCAGCCCTCTCTGTGCCTTCTGTGCAGAAAGAGTCTGTTTAGATAATCTTTTATAATATCTGGGTTGCTGATGACTTTCTCACTCAAGCTACATCAAGCAAATATGCATTAGCTCTCATTCCATCTCTATGGCTATTCCACAGAGATGGACAGTGTCCTCCATCCTAAACCTGTTTGGATGTCATGTTCATGTGGTACATTTTGGCTATCTTTTCCTTGTCCTTCTCAGTCACCAGTAATTTCAGATGTTTCTACTTCTTGGCAGCATGTCTGGAAAAACTTGAAGGAACTATGCTTTTGAAAACCTGTCTTTTCAGAAAAATCATCTCCCAAAACCAGAATGGCAGGACTGTGCTTAAAAACACTGACCTCATGAGCCCATCTGAAAACAGCTTCTCCACATGTTTCATATCATTCTCCCAGACAGAGAAGCAATAATTAATTGCATTTCATCAGTAAATATTAATAGAATTATATTACATGGGGTAAACTGACACAGATCAAGATTTTTTTCTCACCATTAAACAATAGACTGATAGCAGAGCTTGGAAATAATTGCTCTCTAATTCCTGAACATTTCTATGCCTAGAGGATATGAGAGTGTGTTGGGATGTGTGTTTGTGAGGTGCTGTACACAGGGTATGTGGGCAATTCACTGCACAGAGTTAATTCCACAGTGCATTCTTAAAACTGGTTTAGAGGATATGTTGAGTGGGAAAAGCTTCCCCACTCTACCTAGTAATTAAGAAGATTTGTTTTTCATGCCTTCATAGTTTTAATCGATTTTGTGATGCTGCAAAAAGCAATTGAATGTTGAGCTTAGTGCATGAGGCTGAATGTGGCTGCAGGCAAAATCTGACCACACAGTGAACCTTCTGTACAAAACATTGGCCCCATCGGAGTGGGGAGGAAGGGAAGAGGACCAACAGCCACTGAAACAGAAGGTGCCCTGCCCACAGCTCCCTGAGATCTGAGCGGGGCTGGCTCCCCGCAGGGCACTAGAGTTCTGGTTCAGATGCTGCCAGCCCACATCCACCCTCTGGCAGCGAGCCTCCCCATGAGCTGCAGATCTCCCCCAGGGTCAGATCTGGCTCAGGGCTTGGCTGGAATGTGACATGGAGACAATATTGATTTCCTCATGGTCGATACTCATCACTTAGAGCAGCTTTTCTGTGTATCATGTGGCACTGCTCTCATGGCTTTCCCTCCTGCCATCCCCACTCGAGTGGCTGGACCAGATGCATCACTGGGTATTTACTCTGATGAGTTTTGTCCTTTAGAAACTCATTTACAAATTCAGAGCTCTAAGGCACTAATCTCTGCCCTTCCCTTAGTAGATTAGACTTTAAAATAACAAAAAAAGAAGAAAGGATGTGAAATGAGAACTGTTCTTACTTTCTTGGAGCAAAATTCAGAGCACATCTCCACCGTCAAATTGGGCTGTATCAAAGAGGCTGGAAAGGTGTCTGTTAAATTTTCTGGAGCTCTAAAACATCCTCGATAGATAACATTCCTCCCTGCGGGGATATGAAATAGGTTTCTCTTAAGAAAACGATGTCCGTAGTATCCTGCCTCTTTCACAAAGAACAATACTAGGTTCAGAAGCCAAAAATAATAAAATAAATTTTATATTACAAAGGCTGCAGAAGTAAGAGAAATTCTGGTATATGCTAGAAAAACCTGTTGCAAATCCTGTGGTATTGCAAGGAGCACACGCCTTCAGGTTTGTACAAACCACGGAAAGTGGGGCTGCAGCACAGGGTCTGGGTTAAATTCCACCAGTGGACAGCATTGCTATTGTTTGCAGGTCCCAGTTTCCTCTGAAGACTTGCTTTCCCTTCAAAGCCCCGATAAAAATCTACAAAGCTTCCCAAGATCTGCACCAGGAAAGGAAAGGAATGTAAATGAATCCTGAAAAAAACCTTCTCTGGACCCATTTTCCTGCTCAGCTGCCTCTCTCCTCCCTCTCCTGCTTTTCAGGCCAAAGGAATTTGCTGCAGCCTTCAGGCCCTAAACTGGGTTTTTGTCAACTGGTCCGGGAGAACAGCTTCCACCACATCTTTAGCACCAGCCTCTGATCTCACCTGCTTCTGTAGAAACACCACAAATCTTGGCAGAATTGCAGGGTCTCCCTTGAACAGTATCACCAGAACTGACATGGGAAGTGAGTTGGATGACAGGAGAGATGTGGTGCAGTTATGAAGAAAAAAACTGGTTCTGCATGAATTTCCTGGCAGAAAAGCTCAGATTCTCCAGGACGAGTCAAGAGCAATCTAAGGAGAAGCTGCTTAAATATTGTTCTAATGACTGTTCAAACCAGTTACTAGAAGCAGTGCTGGATCTCTGGGATCACTTGGGTGATGTGAAAATAAAAGAACTTGACCCAAGCTGAGGGGAACAGGAGTCTCCCTGGGACCAGGTCACTGCAAGCACAGCACCAAAGAATGAAGGACCTTGGTATGTTTGGGCTTCTCAGGACGTTCTTGAAAGGCCTCCTACTAAACTTCACACTAATATTTAATTCCTGAAACAAAATGGTTATGAACATGTTTAGAGTTGTCTCAGTGGTCAGGAAGAAAGCTTGAGCAGCCCACACCAGCATTAGAGGGAGTAGGTTCACAGGGAACCCACAGATCCCACTGGAAACAGCTGGGTTTGTGTGGTCTGCCTGCTTTTTGGGGAGTCCTGCCCCAAGGCAAGCTGCACTCTGCCACAGCCACCCCTGCTGCCATGTGGGCTTTGAGCTTCCTTGACGTGATGTAGGGGTACCTGCAGCACAGGAGCTGCACAGCTTGGGGTGTCCAGGGGACTGCAGGGGGAAGGAGGAGGTGAGGGATGGACAGGAGAGACAGCAAGCCCCATCTCTCAGAAGATTTAAATGGAGATGCCACCGAACCTGCTCCGTGTAAGTCTTACGCAAGGTCTGTGCTCTACATTACACAACGTAAATCACATGGGCTGTTACAGTCTCAGAGTTACTTTCCAACATACTTGTTCATTGTGATTAATACTTCTGTTGGCCCCTCCGCTGGCTGGCATCAGGGGGATTCTTCAGACAACTATCAGGTGTTACTAAGGGCAAAAAACCCCCATATCTAGCTCCAGGCTAGACTAATTTGATGACTAATTCATTAATACTTTAAAAAAAATTAAATGCTGCCTTTTCCTGCCAAGTATATATATATATTTTATGCTTGAGGTTTAAACAGTGATGCATGTCCTGGGAAACCTGCCAACGTGCCCATCAGCCTGACAGTGGCAATTTAAGTCTATGTACCTTTGATATATAATTTATATGTAGCTGGGTGGATTATTATACAAACCTTGACTTGTCTTTAAGAAGAAATGAAGTACCATCAATACTGGCACAACCTAAGGTCTTGGTGCTTCTTCTCGGCAAATAACATCCTTCAGGTCTTGTGAACTTGCCAATTGAAAAGACTGATCAGCTGTTTAGGTCTTTTATGTGCTGTGTGTTGGCCTAAAGGTTTATCCATTGTGTCCCCCATGGCAGCTAATTGAATGATGAGTAGAGTGTGTTGCCATCTAAAGATGAAACAAAAATCCCAACTGCCGCTGGAACAGAAGTCCTTGGAAAAGCAAAACTCTGTGGTCTCTTTTCTCTCAATTAGGAAAGGGATTGTTGTGGCTCTCTCTCTGGCCTCTCTTTGCTCCCTGCTGCAGTCACATAGCACTCATTTTGTTTGGGATCATCTGAGCTTAGGGTGGCCTTGATCTGAGTGCTTTTCTGCCCTCCTGTTATAGGGCACCCACTTCCAAGGCTGTTTCTTAAACACGTGGGTTTGTCTGCCTGCAGTGGGTGCTAAAGGGAGTGGGTTTTCATCTGAAATTCTGTTGCAGTTGCTCTGCACTGCATTGTGTTTCATCCCTGGTGACACCAACCTCCTCCATGGCAGTCCCGAGGCAGCTGTGCCAGGCAGTCTCTCCGCTCTGGGGCAGAGAGCAGCGCTGCTATTTTGGGGAGGGAGCCAGGGACCAGACCAGCAGCAAATGGATGCTGTGCCCTGCAGGCACCTTTGTCCTTTGCCATTTCAAACTCTAGTGACAAGTGGAGTGAGACAATCAGCGGGGACAACCCGCATGCTCAGCCCAGCCCTGACGTCTCTCCCATGGGGCAAGTGGACTCCCCTCTTCGGTCCCACACCCACTTACGTCTCCTGGCTCCTGCCCGCAGCTCCTCCACCCTGTAGACCGAGAGCCGGTTCACCCCTCCGCACACAGAGCCCTTCTCCCCCTTGCACTCGCTGTTGCACTCCTCAGGCCTGGAGGCAGTGGTGGGGAGGGTGTTCCCGCAGTAACACTCTGCTCCGTACACCAGCCCCGCGTAGGTGTAAGCCCTGAAAGGAGCAAAACCAGGCATTGTCACAGAGGCACCCGTCTGCTCCCCACTTTGTACCCAAGGGAGGCAGGGCGTGTCCCTGTGTATGGTGTGAGCTTCTGCTGCCCTGCTCCAGAGCTGAGTGCCCCAGGGACAGCATGGCCTCCTTGACAGAGGCAGCCAGCTTGATGAGATTTGGGCTAGAGACCAGTATCTATCAAAAGATAGATACTTAACAAAGATTATTTAACCAAACAGTCATTTTTGTCAAGGACAACAGAAAATATATTATAAGTAGCTACGCTGCCGTAGAGAATAGGCAGCAGTGTAATGGTCTGCTTCAAGCAGGGTAGCAGAGCTACGCCATGCCTGAAGGTATGAGATAATTACTGGTTTTGCAGATGCTGTATGTGTAATGTAGAAATGCTTTTCCCATTTCAAATTCAGTTCCACTTATTGGAAAAGAGAAAACTTGCAGTGAAAAAGTACCACTCACCTCTCAGCACAAGCTTCCTGACAGTGAGCTACTGTCATTTTTCTTAAGTCATAGAAGACAGCTCCCTTCAGTGTCCTCTCCCTCGAATCGTCGGTGAAGCATCCTATGTAGGTGCCTGTGTGCATGCAAGACCAGGATTAGGCAAGGCATATGGGATGGAGAAGGGGGGAAGGGAAAAACCCATACGGGGCCGATCCAGCACCATATGCTGCAAGCAGGGCTGTGTTCAGTCAAGTCCCAACCTGCCCGGGGTCCCACCTGCTCTGCAGAGCTCTGCCTTGGTGCTGAATCTTGGCAGGTGTATTGAAGGGGTCAGTGTGACTGCCCCATGGAAATGTGCTGAAGGGAAATGAGACTTTCACCAGATTCCTTTCAGCAGACCTGCCTTTGCACACCCAGAGTCCACGATCCCCCGGAACCGCGGCTCCTGCAGGCAGCTGCTGCCTGCTTGACTCCCTCCCTTGGGGGATGAAACATGGCACTTCTCTAAAGTAAAGGAGAATGTAGTCTTCAAAATGGCAAAAACTTCCAGAAACCTTGTTGGATTTCTCCCAAGTGCTCTTTAAATCTCTAGTTGATAATGATATGGTGCAAGAAAAATATTAAGAAAATCAGGTTTTTTTGGGTATAGAGAGTAATATTAAAGCTGTAATAGAAAGAAAACTTCAGTCTTAACTAGGCAGTGCCATGCATTGAGCTGTCTCCTTCTCTCTGGTGCAAAGGAATCTCTTTGTCTTGCTTTACTTAGCATATGAAAGATGACTGTTTCTCTTAGACTGCATCCAATTCAGCCTATTTTTTGTTGTCGTGAACAAAATACTATAAAAATCCAGCCTATTTTTGAATATACAATTGGAAGGATGATGTGGCGTCCCACTATTACACAGCAATTGTGTGTCTGTAAGTACATTTTATCATTAAAATATGAAAGAAAAAAGGAAATTTGATTTTAAGAGTAGCAACATTGAGATGATAGCACAGGGAAATTAACTAATCTAAGGTGTGGACAAGAAAAGAATATACAATGAAAAATGAAACTAAAAAGCATAATATTAGCAATAAAATAATTCACAAGAAAAAGGAATTTTCAGCCACTCTAACATGGATTTTGGAGCCAGGAATAATAAATCAAACATTTAAATATTACAAACGCAACAGTAGCTTCAAAGACCTACACTCAGTAATTTGCCAACATGCAATTAGAAAATTCACAAGCTGTGAACACACACTCCAGCACGCTGTTAATGAGGTGGGAGTCATGCACTTCCAACAAGGGTGCTCCACATTTCATTGTTGACTTTTGATTTGGGTATTTTGATTCAAAGCAGTAGCAGCAGAAAACTGGGGCTGTGGGGCCAAAGAGCCTCCTCTTGTGTCCCTCCCATGCCACTGCCAGCCCAGCAGTGGTTTCTCGCTCACATCCTCCTATGAATGAGTCGTCTTAGTGACATGTCATGTCATGTCAGCGATCCAGTCCCTGTCACCTCTGCATGCCGTGCAATGGCAGAACCAGGCCAGGAGAAACTGTAAAACTCCATCTGCTGTAAGCACTTGGAACAGAAAACTCATTTGTTGTACTAACAGTGTTTGCCAGTGTCCCTGGCAGGAAAAGATGAGGTCCCTACCCTAAGCTACTTGCAGTGTCAGCAGGTGGGAGCCTGACTCGGAGAAAAAAAAAAAAAAGACTTGGATTTTCTCACCCAGGGCTGTGTGTTCCTGGGTGGAGTCAGAGCAAGGCAAAGTGAGCTGGGAGGTTCCCAATATGCTGGGTCAGATGCCATTGTTTTTGTCTTGGGTTAAGGGTCTGCCTGGGGAGGCACAGGGGGGGCTGGCTGGCAGCTCCTGGGCAAGCAGGGGCAGAGCAGCTGTGCTGCATCAGAGCCAGGTTGTTTTTGGAATGGCACCACTGAGGAGTGCACAAGCCCAGCCTCCAACAGTCAGGCAATGCTGCTTCAATGAGCAGGAACTACAGGGCATCACTGAAACTTTAATAAGCATTATAACCACGGAGGAGTTCATTAGATCTTGAAAGAGATAACGAAATAACAAAATAACAAGCATCTAAGTTTACTAGAAGTGAGCTGGGGAAGGTAACATGCTCTATGTAGGTAGTTAAATTTTAATTGATAATCTTCAAAGGCTGATCCAGCTTCTTAACAATAGTGTTATTAATAATTTCACTTCATGTTCAGTCAGATATTCAAATGATGCATATCTGAATCTACACTTCAATATGGTGGGATGTACAAATAAATAGTCCTTCTGGCCCCTCTCATCAGCAGTTAGAACCTGAGCAAGGCCCTGGCTGAGTGGCTCTCACTCTCTCCTCTGCCACCAAAACCTGCTACCAACAGGGTGTTCTGAAGTGTCCGTGGAGCAGCTCCAGCTTGATTCTTCAGGTAACTCCAGTGTTTCAGTCTGCATGACTCACACTGTGTGACTCATCTCCCATACAGCCACCACTATTGCCTTCTCTCTCCCATTTCTGACAATTCCCTTGGTAGGTATCACAGTGTGGCACCCATTTTGTGGGATTTTTAGATAAGGTGCTCTTTTGTTTGGGTAAATTTATTCAACAAACTAAAAAGCAGTTTAGTAATGTGGTGTCTAGTCATCCAGATCCCACTCCTGCTTTATTATCAGTGAAACATCTCCAAGAACAACTAGTTTTTCTAAAAGGCAACGTGTCAAAGACTGCAAACTCACGCTCTGATGCTGCAGCGAGGGCATAGCAGTCACCCAGGGCAGATCCTGGTGCTTCCTGTGGTGGGCTCCTCAGGGGCTTGTCTGCTCCCTGGGAATGCTCAGCCATGGGGTGTGATGGCAGGTTTAGGGCTCCAGCTCAGCTGTGTGACAGCCCAACACCACGGGCTTTGTGCTGCCTGGGGGGCCTGTCGAGCTGTGCTGGCCCAAACGTGCCTGGATGATGCAACTCTCAGTGGGGTCATGAGGGTGTAAAGCCATTCAGGAAATGTGAACAACTAGAGTCCTGTTTTGCTTCTTTGCTTGCTCTGGATAATAGTTTCTTAAAATTCTTCCTGCTGACCCAACCCAGGGGGTATTTACCAGCAGTGCTTAGGACAGCAGAGTCAGACTCAGAGTGAACTCATGTTTCTGTCAAACTGGAATGCCTTTCTATTTGAATTGGAAATGGTACAGGTTTGTACCGTGTTTTCTGGGCGCTGCTGTGCTGTGCCCATGCAGCAGTGTGAATTCTCCTTGCAGTCCCTTGCCCTGTTGGACATTCTCAGCAAACCTGCCAAACCCCAGGAGTCTGTCTCCAGTTTAGGGTGTTGATGACTCACCTCATGTCCCCCAGAGGACAGAGTGTTTGCAGAGATGCTCACAGAGGGCAGGTCAGGAACAGTGAATGCATTTGCAATAGCAGAATTTAGTTTTAGCTTTAGCAGCAAGGAGGCACTTCTAGACTTATGGTACTGTGCGGTCTTGGATAGTTAATTTGATAAAATCCACTTTTAAAATGTTCCCTCTTCTGAGAAAGAAAATCAATTAAAATGGTCATCTCTGCCTGCTTGAAGAGAAAATGATTTAAATTAGGGAAGCACATTGCACTGTCTGAGCTTCCATTCAATCAATAAAATTACTTTTTTGGAGGAAGTTACAGCTCAGCATGACCAGGGAGGTTAGGTTTCTACTTTGGCATGTGCAGGTTCCTAAGAACTGTTTTGAAAGTAGTGATGAGCGAGGAGGAAGGCACATCTGCAGGGACATGTTGTGGTGCTCACCTGTGTCTGCCTGGGACGTGCAAGGTGCAGTTTATGTGCGTGCCAGAAAATGTGCAAGGAACGTCCCTTACCTTTGTGTTCAGCAGTGTGTTTGATCACTTTAAATCCTGCTGTCTCCATGGGCTCCTGGTTGCTGATGAACCTGTGAAACCACCTTCTTCTCAGCTGCCTGAGCTCCGAATTGCGGGACACGAGCCAGTGTGGGCTGTGCCGCTGGTCCAGGGCCGGCTCCTGCAGCGCATCCATGCCCACCAGCAGCCTGGGAGCAGGGCGGGGGTTCTGCAGAGCCCCGGGTGTCTCATCTGGCACCATCAGGGCCTGGTTAGCGGAGGTCCCGTGCGAACCTTGCTGGATAACCAGGCGGGTCCGCTGCAGCAGCAGGAGGCTGCCAGCCATCAGGTAAGCTGCTGTGAGGAAGAAGAGCAGAAACTGGGTCCGACGGAGAAACTTCTGTAGCCTGAAGAAAGCTTTGGCCATGCCCTTACTGAAACTGGGCCCTTCACGCCTCCCGACGGGTCCCTGAATCTCCACCTGACCAGACGCTCATTCCTCCCATAAGTTCAGCCCATCACTTTGGTGCCTTCCTCCGATGAAAAGCTTCTTCCCAGCCAGCTGCAGCAGAGACCAGCTTGGTGCAGCACTGCCACAAGCCTCAGGCACCAGGCTGGCCCAGGGTCTCTGCACATTCCCAGGGTGATGCCTTCATCATGTCCTGCCGAACAGCCGATGCTGAAACCTGAATTACCAAGGGGAGGAAGGCTGGTTCACATCCAAATTGAAAATATGCACCATCAGGGTCACTTTCCCCCATCCACCCACCCCTTTTGGCTTTAGATGAGCATTTCTCCATCTGTTGTTTATAATTATGCACATTAAGAACTATAATCCAATGAGAACAATTGATTCAGTACAAGTGAGTTTCAGATCTTCAGACTTTTTTTCTTTCCTGGGAGTGCACAAAAAATACCTGTATGGTGAGGTTATTTATCTCGGGACGATTGGAAAGGAAGTTATTTTCTTTTGTCAGTAGCCAGCATCTCCATCCTTTGTCCCTGGCTGAACAGGCAGCCACAGTACAGGCATCTTTTTACAGAGGTATTACCAGATTCCTTCCTTTCAGCTAAACAGTAGCTGAGCTACAAATGCAGATCAGAAGAAAACTGCAGTGTGGGTGTGTGGGAGGAAAAAAGAAATTGCATTAACTCACAATAGATAAGATAATAATTATTAATCTCTGTGCTGCACAATGAAGTTGGGCTTTATGCTGGAAGGATATTTGGGGGTTCTGTATTTACAGAGCTGGGGGAGTTGTTGTGCATGTTGCTTTATCAAAAACCAGAGATCCTGCTTTTTTTTTTTTTTTTTAGTAGATTCATATTGCCAACTATTGATGTGTGGATGTGTGTGGATAAAAAGTAGTGAATGTTTGAAAAAATTTCATCTCAAGTTCAGCAGATCTCTCTTGACTGCTGCTGAGCTTTGCAGCTTTAGTTGTGCTGATGTGTATCACGATGAGATTGTCTGGGCAAGAAAAGCTCCTTTGTGCTCTAGGGAACCTTTAACCTCCCATGGCAAATAAAAGCTGGCATCTCCCCATAAGTCCCTATTTTCACAGTGTATCCCTTCTTTGTGGAGCCAGGCAAGGGTTGAGAAAATATGCAGTGTTTTCCAGAAAAGAAAATATTGTGGCTTTTGTTTAGCTTGCAATTGGGGCACACTCCTGAAATCCACAGTCCTCTCAATGAACGTCTGCTTACTGGTATTTCTTGTTTCAGTATCTGATTGAAAGTTTTGTGGTTATTCACTTATGCCTCTTTATTAAATAAATGTTCCCAATTAAGTCTCCACCCATTCCCTTTTCCATTTGGTTGGGCAAATTCTTTCTGTCTTAAACAACAACCAAAACCAAAGGTTCAAAACCTCTAGGACAAAAACAAATTAAGGCTCAGCTGAGTCTTTTGTCAGTTGAGCCTGAATTCCTTTTGTGTGACCTTTCAGCCTTGATTCTTAAACATGGCTGTCACAAGGCAGGAGTCCCTGTCTCTAATGTTAAAATTTAGGTGGCCTTGAAGACCTGATTTAGGTATTTTTTTAAGTTGTTGTTGTTGTTGAAGTTCATGTACGCTGATTTTAGTTGTATGGGACTGAGTAAAAATATTCTACGTCCTTATTTCTCTAAGGGCTCGGGAGCATGAGCAGGTGCAAAGCACTGCCAGGCTGTACATCTGCAGTGAATTCTGACTGCTCTCACTACAGAAGTTGCATACCTCCCTTCAGAGCCAAAGAAAATGCATTGATTTACACGAGCTGAAGAGCTGACCCTCAAACTTAAATTATTGAAAATCTCTGATCAATGTTGTGAGTGCTCGAACATTGCAGTAAAAGGGTCAGAAGTACCAAGACAGATGAATGGAAAATTAGCCCTAATTAGATCCTGCAAGTTGTTACTGTGCTAATTCATCTGAAGAAATACTGTCTCTGAGCATAGGTGGGATTTGATTCACTAGTTGTTCCTGCCATGGGGCTGCTGGAAACTTGAGCTGTTCCCAATGGAGGCTGTCTGATCTGAAAGCAAGCTGTGTGCACATATTAGCTTGGAATTTGGGCTGGGAATGACTGTGCTCCATGCAGCCAGCAGTACTTTGAGGGAGGGCTGGGTCAGTGGGCAGGTGGCTGTTCGCCTCAGCAGCTGGGGGCTGGGCACATCGTGCTCTTGGAGGTGTCATCTGCACTGTAAAGTGGTGGCCCTTCCTGGTAAAACGCTGCTGCAAAACCTCATCAGGGAGGTGGCAATGGCTGCAGTCACACAGGACTTCAAAAGGTTTAAGCTTTCTTCCCCCCAGCAGCAAGATGAGGCCAGATAAACTGATCAGATTTGCAGTAATTCAGGGTTTCACAGCTCTTTTGGTTTATTCACAAAGTGAGAGATACTTCAAGCCCAGGTTCTCAGATGCACCGTTGCTGGCACTGGAGGGGCTGTGCTGCAGCAGCCCCAGCCTTTAGGCTCATCAAGCCATGCCCAGAGTGGCAGCTCGGCTGGAGAAGGGCCATTGAGGCCATGTAGCAGAGGTTGGGCATGTTAGGCTTGAAACTGCATCACTGGCCCAGTTTGGTCTCTTTTAACTCGCTGTGTGCTTGGTCAGTAGATTTTGCTGGTTTCTCCATGTTTGCAGTGATGGAGAGTGGAACAGCTGGAGGCTGCAGCATCCCCAGCATGAGAAGATCTGCCACTTGCCCAGGCAGCATTGGCAATGTTTCCTGGAGACAGGGGAGGCCAGTCTGGCCACCACCTGCCCAAAGAGTGCTGTGGCAAGGCGTGATGTTCTACCTCCATGTGAGCAGGATGGAAAACTTGCATCAGCAGATGCAAAAAAATCAGCAGAACTGGAGAAAACACCCAAGGTATCAGACCTAATTTAACTGTGCAGCAGACTATGTGCCCAAACACAAAGAAATGTTTGGCATTGCTCCTGTTGCTCCGCCAAGTTTGTTTATTTATTTATTTACTAAGGAAAAGCTGCTTCTGTGTCTCAAAAGGGTAACTTTGCCCTTGCCCAGTGGCTGAAAAGTTTAAATGGTATAAGGCAATTTTGCTGCATTCAACATGATGTGTATGAATTACCTCCAGATGCACTCACCCTTAGAGCAGTTGCCATGACAGTACATTGTAGTAAAATCCAACCAAATAAATAAGGAGACTCTCCACCCACAGACTGCTATGAATGTGCAACTCAAAAATTAAATGTTGCTTTTTAGTGGGGAAATAGCAGAGGGTGCTACTGACATAAAAACTGTCATTTGATTTTTCCATAAACTGCATATTGCAATATTATCAAAGTATGCCTAGAAGAATTCAAGTGCACCACTTTTGATGATGATATTAAACAGGAAAGAGTAAGAAGGAAAGAACTAGTGTCTGGTAATAGAAAATGCATCATTTATCTTTTTCATGCATGTTTCACTTGAATGAAGTGAAACAGAAAAAAAGCAGTCTTCTGTTCCTGTTTATCAGTTCTCACAGCCAAAGGTGTTTAGGACCATATTAATTGGGAATTGTTTGTAAAATCATAAAATGGTAATTGAAAGGAGTTTGAGATGGGCAATGAGAACTGTTAAATGGCAGAGGAGATCTCTAGGTGAAGAGGGTGATGAAAGGGTTAATGCTGCACAGGGTGGGTGAGGGGCCGAAGAGAAGGGCAGTAATTAGCACTGGCAAGTATCAGCTTGGGGGATGGTGAGTGGAAGCATGGGAGATCCACTGGGTCCTGGGCCTTCAGCAGGGAAAGAATCCCTTGCCACCAGAAAGTTGCTATAAGGAAAAGCAGGTCAGTACCTTGCTTCCAAAATGATCTTGCAAAGTGTAACAGAGGATATCACACTAGGCAGCTGTGTTAATGCATTTGTAAAGAGAAATAAAAGAAACATGGTAAAGCTCTTGGCAATTCTGCTCTCCTAGCTCAAGGAGCAGTTACAGAATTCTTAAGGGAAGGCTGAATATTTTCAGTGATGCCATGAATGCTGGTAAAGGCTGAAGACACCGAAAACCAGCTCCAGACTTGAAGGTGAAGAGTTGCTTATGTGAGAGCTTTCCCTTGATATGTGCTCAATGCAGAAGCTCAGGTCAGTGCTGCATTGATGGCTGCAGCTCATCAAGAGTTGGTCTTGTCTAAAGAGCAGCAGGATTTTGCAAATTCAGAGTTCTTGGCATGGAAGCAAGATGTTTTCTATTGTAAACTGAAGGGAATTGGACTCATGTACACTATTTTTAGAAAAATCCATCCCTCTTCCACATTTCTCCTTTCTTTTGTCAGCTTTCTTTGAGGACAAGTGCAGGCAGTTAGGCCCCAGCTGAAGGATTCTGGCTCACAGCCTTTTCTTTGGATACACACTGCCTTTTTCTCAAGGCAGTTTGGAAAGTCAAGGGAAACATCATACTGTGTGAATGCACATAGGAAGTAAAACTCTTAAGAAGCCACAAATTCGATGCTGGGACCCTGTCACGTATTTGCAGTTCCCTTTATTCCAATACCTGAAATCATCCTGAGAAACTCTGAGACAGCTGACAATGAGTGTTCCTTGTAGCCGTGCTTTCATATGTGCCCAGAGCATCTCTCCAGGTTTGAGAAAGGGGTTAGAAAAGACAACAAAGTTGAGCGGAGCTCTTCCCTCATACCTTGAGTGGAATTGACAGAGAAATTCTTTATTATTCCAGTTTCCAAATATTGTGAAAAGAGAGAAAAATGAAACTGTGGATCATTTTTGTGTGGAAAGTGGCAGATGCTGAAAGTGAAGCTTAGAAGAAACATCCTTGTGCTCTACTGTCCAGCCAAAATCCAACCAAATCAGGATACAGGTTGATGCTGATGGATTTTGGTTCAGGTCCATTGTTACTTTTTCTAGCTCCTTAAGAAAGTGTCATGTGGAATTGTCTCAGTGACAACATAATTGAGGAATTCAGACAAAGGAAAGAAAGGTGATTTTGTAATTCCATCACCTTTCCTTGGATATTCTTTCACCAAAAAGAGGGGAAATTTTTGATGAAGAGTTACTATAATATTCATGTCCTTCATGTCGCTGTGGACTACAACCTGGTCGCTGACCTTTCTGGCAGTTATGGTGCAGTGCTCGAATGAGACCCATCCAGAATTCACAATCTGGCCTTTCAAGAGCATTTGGCTTCAGCTGGAGGCAGAAGCACCCTCCAGCTCTGGCCCTGGGCAGGCATCTCTTCCGACAGCCCTACGTGTGTGGGTTCTGTTGCAGGGCACGAGCTGTGCTGCGCAGGCAGGGACAGGGCACAGCCCTGGTGTGCCCCACGTCCCACTCCTGCTGTGCCCCATGTCCCACTCCTGCTGTGCCCCACGTCCCACTCCTGCTGTGCCCCATATCCCACTCCTGCTGTGCCCCATAT